TGAAAAGGGCTATATGAGAGCACTGTAAGCAAGAAGGTGAATTATAGATATGCAGGAGTAATATTGTTAAATATCCTAAATAACTATCGGAACATAAGCAAAATTTTAAATAAGCATATTTAGATTTTCTAAGTAATTTTGTTCTCATTTAGCTCAAGTACCCAACTTATAAGTTGTGTGTTGATTAGAGCAGATAGACCAATAAGGTCATTGAAAAATAATGAAAACAGTGTCCTTCTCACATGCCAGTAGCTCAACTCTGGGATGGTGCACGGGATTAGAATTAATTTGTTGAACAGCTTGAACTCAGGGAAGATTCTTGCCAAACACTAGATGAGCTACCCTACTGTACATTTTGCTGCTCTGCTGACACACCAGTAAGGTGAAAAATGCCAGTTTCTAGCATTACCATTCAATATAGCAGCAAAACAGGCAGATGATGATGATGATGATGGAGAGAAACAAGACAGCAGTGGAAAACCAAAGACGGACATTATGTAATGCCTGAAAAATCTCATTATATTTTGCTGGTCCTTGTAGCAAAAAAAAAATAAATAAATAAATAAAAAAACATTTTTATGCTAAAGAGGTTCCATACACAATTAACTCATTTAACACATTTACTTGCACTACTGGTAGTAAATTGTGGCAGCTGTCACTTCCTCAGGAGATTCTGCTTCTTATGCTGTCAGAAGGCACTTGTCAAAATTTGCTACCTGCTGTTACAAAGATGTACTGTATACTCCTGGGAGAATGCTGCACCAAAAAAATTAAAAATTCCACACACAATATTTTAAAATTCTGCCTATTATATTTGTCAAAATAACCACACCAGTTTCAATTATTTTTGGTCACGTATTTCAAAATACCTGTCAGAAAAGTACGTCTGTAACAATAAAGACAACAAAAAAGATTCAGGAAATGTCTTTTGACAAATAGATTCCTTACTAGTCATATCAGATAACGTGACATCTGTGGTTCTTCCCATTGGGAGTTTGGGTCTAGCAGTGACCAAAACAGCCTTATGATTAAATTGTATGATGTTTTATCTTAAGAGTAGGAACAGCAAAGAACACATACAAGAGATTGAGAAAGACCCACCTCAAAATGCCCCATAGCCAGGACACTATCCTGGTATACGGGAGACCTAGGGTGACCAGATGTCCCGATTTTATAGGGACAGTCCCGATTTTGGGGTCTTTTTCTTATATAGGATCCTATTACCCGCCACCCCGGTCCCGATTTTTCACACTTGCTGTCTGGTCACCCTAGGGAGACCTACTCTAGAATGTTTTATCTTAAGAGTAGGAACAGCAAAGCATAAGAAGTTTTTCAACCACACAAAAGGCGACACATGTCTATCTTACCTAAAGCCTGACCAATCTGAAGCAGACAAAGACACACCTACCCCCTGCAGGGTTGATTCGTCAGTTTCTCCCCCTTAATTATCTGCCCTCTTCTAGAGCGAGTGTGTCTTTAAACCATCCTGAAGCTTTTGATACTCCTCCCCCTCAGAGGGCCTGAGCCGGGGCATGGAAATGAACGCATTGCTCCTGAGCATATTGTCCTCCCCCTTCCTTGGTAAAGCTGATAGCGGATTAACTCAGTCAAGGTTCATAAATTATTACAGGCAGCTCCAAGCCCGTCACGCCGGCTCTGGGCATGTAACCGCACCGCCCCAACGAGCCCCTCCAGCCACGGGGGCTGCCAGGGGCGCCGCGCAGAGGTGGGGCTGGTGAGGGGACGCGAAGCCGCAGCAGCTCGGGCTCTCCCCCAGCCCGGCCCTACCTGGATGAGGAAGCTTCGGCGCTCCAGGCTGAAGCCTGTGGAGGGAGCCGGGAAGCGGTCGATAACCACATCAGCCTCCTCCGGGTTGGGGTTATCTACGGCCAGGAGCCGGGTGCAGGAGGCGCCGGGCCGGAGGCTGCCGAAGCTGAGGAAGGGCGGCCGGGAGAAGTGGGTGAGAGTCAGCACGGCGGGGTCCTTCTCCTCCTCCTCCTCCCGGCCAGCCCAGCGCCGCCTCCGCCGCCCCGGGCTCTCGGCCGGGCTCAGTCCGCAGGCAGCGGCGGCTCCCCTGCGCAGCAGCTCTGCAGCCATCGTCGGCTTGTTGCTGCCGAGACTCGGCGCTGCCCGGTCCCCGCGCAGCGCGGACAAACCGCACGAGCCAGACGCATAAACAGGCAGCACGATACTAACCGCCCCGGCCAACCATTCAAACCCAGCGCCACCGCCAATCCCCAAGCGCCCCCACGGCCCGCCAATCCCCACACAGCCCTGTCCCAACCCACCCACCAACCAGCGGCGCAGCGTCTCTTCCAGGCCACCAATCGCCATACAGCGCCCACCCTGGAGCCTCTCCGCCAATCACTACCCGGCGTTTTATTTAAACATCAGCTCGGAGATGGTTGGCTGGAGGGCAGCTCCCCAGAGCAGGCTCTGCAAGTGTATCAGCACAAAGTGCTGCCCTCCCCTTTTGCTACTGGGAGCGGTTTCTGCCACGCAGTGTAGCAGTTTGGTAAACTGTTTGTTAACTTGCTACCGCCTGTCCATGGGGTTGCGAATCAGGAGGGGATGGGGTATGTGGTCAAAAACGATCCCTATCTGCTTCCTGACCGGAGTGGCCGCTTTCATTGCATTCGTGAAAGGGGAGGTAGGGTTTGTAGGTATAGAGCGTGCCCCTGAGCCCAAGTTGAGACCACAGTGGCCCCTTTTCATTTTTTCCACTGGCTTCTCCTTGCTTAGTTCCAAGAACTGGGCTGCTCATGCACCTGTCACTGGTCCAGGGATGGTTGCAAAACGGGAGGGATGGGGGGTTGTGGTTGAAAACACTCACGGTCTGCTTCCTCCTGG